ATAAACTAATTCAGGACAACCAAATGACTCGAGCGAGTTCAGACTTGTACTGAAGACGGATCACATGTTCCCCTGTCTCCCCTCCTAGGCGCCTCCAGTGTTGGCACAGATCGAACGCTAGGTTGCCAGTCTCATCACTTAATTTTCAGACCTCGTATGCTGAATGTGTCATAATATGATGAACATTTTGTATAGTACAGGAGACAGAAAATGATGCTATAGTGGTAGAAATTGAATCTCCAAACTTTACCTACAGTATGACTGTAAAAATAAATTCTGATCTTTAAATCACAGGGAATGGTGAAATGTACAACAATGTTCCTTAACCGAGGCAAAATTCTAGATTTACTCATCCGAATACGTAACGGCTTTTGGAAATTGGAAACGACTGCCAAAAAGGAGTATCTACAACCATTACAAAGTTTGAAGCAAGTTTTCCACTTGTACATCACAATTTACATGTCTTCATTAACGAGTTTCTGCCTTATTCCAGTAAGTACAAAGTTACACAAAAAAGTTTTGCTTTCGCACGAAGCTTCTACGGCAGATTTTAAAATAAAAGCTTTTAAAAATCAATAATATTTATTTCTGGAGAAGATAAGGCAGAAAATACCCAAAGATTTTATTTTTCCTTCCTTTACGAGGATAAGTTTTTGTAATTAGTATTTTATAAGTTTCACGTAACACTATCAAAAAATCTTAAAGTGTCATGGTGACGAAATTGGAGTAGAAAATGGGTCGTTTGAGACCATTCGTGGATATTAGCGCCATTTAGACATTGGATTCGAAATCTGCACTCCTGATGTACCTAAACAGTAGTTAGTCCAAATCAAATACGCGTGTGTTTTTGAAATAGTCTCCAACGGAGACCTTAGAATATGATTGATAGATAAAATGTCCATTTCAATCTCCTTTTGTTGCAAGCGAATGACACTTGGAACATCTAGGAGACCTGGGGCTCTGAATATGAACATAACCATAATAAAAAAACATGAAGTAGCATGGAGGTAGAAAATGGGTCACGTGCGACCTCTCGTCAAATTGACGTCGGAATCCATGCACGAAATTCACCTAGGAAATAAATACATTTTCATCCATATCCCAGATACACAGGACTACATTTTACGAGATGAACTTAGAATCTAGAAATGCCAACTTTATTTCGAAAGAAAAAAAGTATTGCTATATGGTGTCCATAAATAAAATAAAATTGATGAAAGAGAGTACGCTAAAGACGAGTATACGCGAAAAAATTTCTAAATGAGATATTATGTTTTTTGGATTTTGTATGACATGTACCTCAATAAAGACCATGTCACTCATTTCCGTCTGTCTGTCTGTCCGCTAATCCTTGGACCGTTTATAACTAGGAAAGTGCCGCTCGGATTTGGATGAAATTTGCACACAGGATTACTACTCTGCTAAGGACGAAAAAGCTTTGGACTCATATTATATCGTTTCATGACATTTCAGTTGGCTCCTGATCATTTCCGGAAGGATTTTGTAGGGGTTTTTTTGAGGTTGACATATTAATACGCCTTGAACCTCGGTAATTCTATGCGCTTATTAGACATATTTGACTCGTCATAGATGTCCCCGTACATTTACCCCTAAAGCTTGGAAATATCTCCAACTGTCGCGTGTCGATACGTGGGCACGCCGTGGTCCAGCTGATGAACGTGCGTCTTTCATCGTACTCGGCAGTCGGATCCGTGCGGCTGTGGGCTGTGGCGCTATCGAAATGGAAGTCAACATCGTCATCCACGCGATATTAGTCATAGCAACGATCATGTGCGCCCGCAGGAATTTTTCTCTGGGTTGAGAGGGAGGATCATTCATCGGTAGGAGATAACTTTGTATGAAAGCGTACCTGTCTCCAAAACTTTCTAACTTTTTGAAGAGCAGAAAGTCTCCTAAGTTCCAAATGGGGCAAATACAAAGAACGCCTAGAAATTGCAAAAAAGCACGCTAAATATGCAAATTTTAATTGTATGAGGCTGTTTGACTTGATTAATTTACTTTTTTGTTATACATCCGTAGCTAACTTTTTTTTCAAAAGAGCTACTTAACCTGTGTCGAACATAATCCTTGTTTGGAAAGTACAGAGTCAACCTACTTGACGCCATTTTCTTGTAAAACGCTTCATTTAAGACATGCATATTCTGGATAGGTATACACCCCGTAAGTTCCTTGCCCTTCAAATAAAGCCGCCTAATCGACATGCAGTGCATAAACAACATTATCTACACCTACATACATATACTAAGTGACATATAAATCCGAACACCCAGTTTAAATGGTTTTATTTTAATAAAATTTTTGTATAAGTACTTAAAGAAGCATAATAAGTAAATGATAAAAATTTCAAAATGATTGCACTGCTTTAAAGCCCTTTGACCTTTAATAATGTGTGGATGCACCCTGATGTGCTACGCATTCTCCAACGCGCCTAGGCATGCTTCTGATCAGGTGGTCAATATCCTCCTGTGGTATCTCATTCCAGGCAATCACCAACTCCTCTCGAAGTGCTTCTAGAGTCTGAGGAGGACGTTGCAAATTGAGCAATCTCCTACCCATCATATCCCACACGTGCTCAATTGGGAATAAGTCGGGAGATCTTGGTGGCCATGGTAACAATGTGACATCATTATGTTGAAAGAAGTCTATTGTGACTCTTGCAACATGTGGTCGGGCATTATCTTGTTGGAAAGTTGGATCTGCCAGGGTGTCAAGATAGGGTAAAAGATGGGGTTCTAGAACTTCGTGAATATAACGCTGCCCGTTCATGTTACCTCTGATGAAGATTAAAGGTGACCTGGAACCATAAGCTATAGCACCCAGAACCATAACTCCAACAGTGTGATGAACATGTCTTTCAACAAAAAACTGTCGATTCCTCCTTTCACCACGTCGCCTTCTAACCCTGGCACGACCATCGTGCATGCCTAAACAAAATCGAGACTCGTCACTAAAGACAATACTGTTCCATTCCTGATTCCAGAGTGACCGTTGTCTGCACCACTCAAGGCGATTACGTCGGTGTACTCGAGTTAAAGGGAGGACCCAGTGTGGCCGGTATGAAAACAAGCCAAAACTTCTCATTCGTCGGTAAACACTTCGCAAGCCAATAGGTCTTCTGTGTTCTGCAAACCATTCATTTGCAATGGACCTGGTAGTGGAGAAACGGTCCCTTAAGGCCAATAATCTTAGGCGGCGATCCTCACGGTCTGTTGTTCTACGGCGGCGTCCAGTGCCCCTTGCCTTTGCGTACGGCCTTCTCGAAGCCACGCCTGACAACACCTAACCACAGTGTCTACACTTCTATGCACTCTAACTGCAATTGCCCGAAAAGAAAGTCCAGCTTCCCGAAGTCCCACTATACGGCCCCTATCAAACTCACTAAGTTGACGAAATCGTACAGGTCTCCGTACTCTAGGCATCGTAACCGATCGTAAAGGATGTCAAGAACCAAAATCCGCCAACGTTGATTCTTTACTGGGGCTGAAATATTCATTTTTAGAGCGTTAGTGAATTAAAAAAAAGCAACTGATAAGGCTGAAAATTTTTTCACTTGTTATTTACAGTAAGATAAATACATTCACCAACTTTTATTAAAATAAAACCATTTAAACTGGGTGTTCGGATTTATATGTCACTTAGTATACATATATACATAAGTCTGGGACTTCTTAGGTGGTTTCTGCATGGACTACTCGACGCGGGTATTTGAATAGCCATTTCAAAAATATTACCAGGATCCTTCATTTGTTTTATATTCATATTTATGCACCAAAAAAACAATTTTAAAATTCTTAACTACAAAAATAGGTTATCGTACTATTAATACATAATACAGCATCCACTTTGCCTTATCTGCCTGGCCCGAAAACAGTTATTTATAATTTTTATTCCTACCAAATTAATTAACTTAATTGACTTAAATATTTCAAAAATCTGGATTTACACGTACAAAACCTGTCGCAAAAAATCTATTATTCTGTTGAAAAAATACATTTTGCTGTCTGGGAGTCAAATAAGCACGTGGGTTGTTCTACAAGCGGTTGCCAATTATTGATGAAGGTTAAACGAAGAAGACTGTGTACTTTTTCAAAATGATATGACTCTTTTGCTTAAGTTATATTGTTCTAACCATATTCCCTGCTAAAACAGCAAACGTCCAAAGTTTTTCGGGCGTGTTCCATTATTATTATTACTAAATAGTGAAGGTTATCCAAAATTTCAATCTTTGTAAGCTCAAATACTAGATTAAGCCCAACGAGGGCGGAGTGAGACTCAGAAATTCGGAAAGACTTCGAAAGGAGTGGGCAGGTCTGGTACATGGACTGCTCGGTCACTAGTTTATCTCTGCCTCTCGGTGGATACACCATTATTTTTCAGGCGGAAATCTTTGCGATTCTGGCTTGCGCATCCCTCATTTTGGAGCGGGAAGGGCCTAGGAAAATAATAACAATCTTCTCTGACAGCCAGCAATGAAGGCACTAACTGCCTGCAAGATTATTTTGAGCGTTGTATTGCAATGCAAGCTCTGGATAGTCTAGCAGCGAGGCATCCGGTATCGTTAGTGTGGATACTGGGGAAGGCTGCGATAAAGGTCACAACACTCTCAGAAATGGAGAAGCATCCCAAGACATCTCCGTCAGGTAAGGGAGCTTATCTTGAGGCCCAGTAGAGCCAACCTAAGGTGGCCGGTGAGACTATTGTCTGGCCATAACATACTGAGGCTCCACCTTCATGTGATGGGGGTGGCTGAGGATTCCTTGTGTGAGCGCTGCGGGGTAGAGGAAGAGGTCTCGGCGCATATTCTGTGTCGCTGGGAGGCTCTGAGCTAGCACAGGCATACATTTATTTATTCAAGCCCAAAAAATACTTCAAAACTGGTTTATTTGTCAATGACAGCTTTTATTATCTCCTCAAAAACTCAAATTCTGACTAATAATGTTCTTGCAGTGGCTCATTCAAATATTGCACTATCAATTCAGGTTTTCAGCAAAGACGAAGAATTAGTCTACCAAAGCTACAGACCACCATGGTTACCCTATCCCATTCTACTCTTCCAACAGATAATTGTTGGTTCTTTATGTACACTTGGCGCTATGCTACCGGTAGACTTTCTATTCATGTCTATCGTCACTCTCACGACGGTCCAGTACAAGATATTGAATGTCGAGCTGAGGCAACTTTTCGACATTGAAGATACGGCGCAACGAAAGCAATTATTGAAGAAGAAAATTGGGGAGTATGTAAGGCATCATGCTTATTTATATGAGTAAGTAAAGATAGATGTCCCAATTGGACATACTGAATAGTCCAGGAACTATATTCGCATCTGCTTGGATAAATATTCTGTTTCGGCTTTTTACACCCTCCCATTCCCCTAAAAAATTTTTCAAAAATGATGAGAATCCTCTAGAACATCAAGAGACGAAATTTGAGCTATTTTTCGTTTTTATTTTTTGGAATTTCATTTTTTTTTACCAAAAATTAATAAACGAATTTCGTCCAAAACTAATTATGTACTTATATAAATTAACTTAATATATTTTTTGTAATTTATCAATCTGTATCTTAAAAACTTTTTTTCTATTCTTTAACAAGGAATTTCACTCTAAAATATCCCCGCATATTATTCATGTCGCCCAAATTTATCAAAAATTCTTCGTGGAATTTTTTTAAATGAGCTCCAAAAAAGTTTTTCCGAGTCTTTGGGGTCACTCTGGACAAAAAAAAAGATTTTTATGAACCCTTCTCTGAAGTTTTCGAGATATATGCGATTTAATATTTGAAAAGTTGCGATTCTTCCCATTTTCTACCCAAAAAAAATGGCTAAGTTTGAGCAAGTTCAATTTTTTTCGTTTTTGCCCTGTAGGTATCTCTGCCACCTGCTGACCGATTTTCAAAAGTCAAAGTTTTTTATCCTTGAGATAATAGTAAGAGAAAATTTCGAAAAAATCCGACCAGTACTTTCCAAGATATAGACGGGCCAAGGATTAGCGGACAGACAGATAGACCGACGAAAATGAGTGACATGTTTTTTCGTAATGTACATGCCATATAACATTCAAAAAAACATAGTTGGTACCCCATTCTCGAATTTTGTCGCAATTACAATACTTCCTCGCCAGTATAAGATTGAGTAAAAGGAAAATAAAACATGATATCTCGTTTTGCCAGCTCATAACAGTACACCCTAAAATATTTTGGGATCTTGTTAATAGATGTTTGAAGAATATTTGGAACTTGGTGACTTTAAATTTCCGATTTACTTCTCAGGCCTACTGGCGACAAAGTATTGTAGTTGGAGAAAAATTCAAAAATAATATGTGTATTATGTTTTTTTGATCAAATATGACATGTTCATCACGAAAAACCATGTCACTCACTTCCGTCGGTCTGTGTGCCTGTCTGTATATCTGCTAATCTTATAACCGCCTATAACTTGAGAAGTACCGGTCGGAATTTGATGAAATTTTCATACAAGGCTACTGCTATGCTAAGGACGAAAAAGCTTTGAAGTTTTTGAAAATCTGTCTAGTCACGGCGGATAAGACCAAAAACGAAAAAAGTAAAAATTGCTCAATCTTCGTTTTTTGATATTCAGAAAATACTGGTTATTTTTGAAAAATTTTTAAAGGAGAAAAATATGAAGAGTGGGTTTATAGGGGGTGGGGGAGGGTGTATCGTAATATTTTGATATCAGTATATTGATACACTTCCAACCCTCATATTTCTATGCACCTTAGACATATTTCACACATCAAGGATTGTCCCATACATTTGCCCTTCGACAGAAAAATGTTTTCGACAAGTGTACCTACGTCTGCTGACTAAAGACTGCTCTGTAGGCGCTCTGCCACGTGTGACCCATCCATTGTCGATAATGGACCCATTGGGGAGAGGCGACGCGACGCGACGTTTTCAGTTGACCGCTACTACGGGTTGGGCAGTAATGTGAATATGGACTGATTGTATGGACCTGATTGGCGGACTTGAACCATTTAATTACTCTGTTGTACATGTTCGTAACTAACTCTTTTTTATAGTGGGTCTAAGTTAAACATGCTGCTTTTGTCTGTCCAACAGACAGCTCTTTCGTGCTTTTTTGGCAATAGGCTTGGTCTCTCGGACAACGACGAAAGCATAGCAAGTATCCTGTATCCAGGATATTAGGTCGTACGTGGGAAGTGTAGTGTCAACATACTTGACGCCATTTTTTCATACATTTTTATTTGTAGAAAATTGCATGTTTCGCACTTTTTCAAATATTAAATCGCCAGTTATATCTCGAAAACTTTAGAGAAAAGTTCATCACTACATTTTTTGTCCACAATGACCCCAAAAACCTAAAAAAAAGTTATCGGGAACGAAAAAGCATTTTTGGTATTCGCTTAAAATAATTCTTCGAACAATTTTTTATACAACTTTAGGCTCTGCGATATCCAGATTCAATGAAAGGGTACTTTCTCTAACAAGATTAAGCAAAGCACGGAATCAGTATATTTTTTCGAGCAGAGGCGAAGATTCTTCCTGAACTTGTAATATGTATATGTCGGCGTCAAACGCTGAAATCCGTCATTCCCTGAAATGCCTAGTCAGTCCCCGTATTGCCGGCAAATACTGTAACAGTTATATTATTACAACATTTGACTAAGCATCTCAGTCATTCCCTATAATGACAGAACAATTTCAGTCAAACACCGTAACAACCACATTAACTTCGTTACTGCATTAGCCTATTTTAGTCAAACTCTGTAATCAATACATAATATAACAAGGTACTACTTTATCAATAATATCAAAGGAAAATAATCGAGCATGAATTAATCTAAAAGGAAATAAGAACAGATTAAAACGTGGTCTTTATTTGTACATTATTGTGGACATTAATCTTATATGTATTCAATCAACAAGAAATATCCTGAAACTATCGAAACTAATATAAAACAAAATGTTCACATTGAAAAAAACAAAATGCAGAACTGCGAGTAGTGACAACCGAATAAAAGTTACTTAGAATTATCTTATATTTTATATTATTTCAAACATTATTTTTTAGCGCATGTTAGACTTCTACGGTACCTTGAATTACAAAGAAGTTTTTTAGACAATCACATCTATTGGATAAACGTTTTCGCAGAACAGAAAAGATTATGTGTATGCTCAAGCAAATGAACACAAAACTGGTACAATGAATGACTGAATCAGGCAAATACAGTAAAGAAGTTAATGTGGTTGTTACCGTGTTTGACTGAAATTACAGGCAATGCCTGAAATGCTTAGTCAAACTGTTACGGTGTTTGCCGGCATTACGGGGACTGGCTAGGCATTTCAAGGAATGACGGATTTCAGCGTTTGACGCTGTCATTATACATTATGTATACCAAGTAACGGATCATAGTTTTAGACCACATTGTTTTTTCAACATGATTTATACTTAAGGAAGTATAGTTATGGATTCGTTTTTCCAGCTACGTAAAGAGGATAAATAACACATTTTCTCCATCGTTGTTAGTATTTCTAGTGATTGTGCTTTTATCGATGTGTATGGAGATGTACAGAACTTCTACGCAGTAAGTATTGTAGCGTTTTTCTGGGTTCTTTTAGGTGTGAATTTTAAAACACTGGATTCCATAAAAAGAAATGCACTAATTTATTTGACTTGATAGAACATTTATATACACCACTATTTATGTCTGACTAATTCTTATGTCGCCATTGACTACACTATAATCCACTCCGCTCTGGTGTAATCTGTACTCTCTGCTTCCATCTCCCGGCCGCCGAGTTATATATAGTCCCAATTGCTGCTTCGAGAAAGGCCGAGTGCACCACAAAGCGACATCTAGAATATTGGAGGTCAGTTCGCGTCGATCTAGAAGGCGATCCACTGTCACGGTACCCACAGACGCCGCCAAGCGGCTTGTGCGGTCGTGGTTCGCGTAAAAGCAGAGATCGTCCATTATGCTCTGGCGAGTAGGGGACTCGCACAATAGATGGCGCCAACAGAACTATTTGTCACAGTATACATACATCGACAACGTACAGCTAGATGGTTACTCAAACATGTGCTAAACAAGATATCGTTTCCCGAAGGATCACTAAAAAGGCGCGTTATGCTACACGTACTGTGCGTTCGCAGATTTTGCCTAGTAGCAATTAAGAATCCTAAGTGAATGTTTTGTAAACCCGATAGTGTTTTCGATTATGGGTTACTAAGCTTCAACAGATTAAAATAGCAAAAAATCTTATTCCATTTCTTTGCAGTTTTGTATTCCTGTCAGTTGATGTCAATTCAAGTTATAAATTCTTGGAATTCAGTCTACACAAAACATTTATAAAAAAATATGACGTTTCAATGACTGTAAATCCATCTTAAGGTACATGTGGGTTTCTAGAACTAAACAAAAACGTCAGAAATTACAACACAAAACACGTTAAAAGAAAAAATGTAGGATTAATATACAGAAATACGTACTAGCTGGTAAAAATAATTACATTTCCGCCATATAGTTATTGCTAATTCGAGTGTGGGTCAACCTCTGGCGGTAAATATTTGCTAATAAAAAAGGAAACAAGACAAAGGTAAAAAATATATACAAGAATAGTATCTTTTTACATTAAATACATGGTATTTATTCATTTAATTTCACCACCAACAGTTTGCAAAGAAATTACTGGTGGGGAGCGTAATTTTTCTGTTCGTACTGTAATTACTATTATGATGCAATTATTTTGTGATTGATGAATTATATTTAGTGTATTTTGACGCTTTACATCAGTAATTGGTTTGTAAACTGTTCTTCGTGTACTTAAATAAATAAATACCACCCACTCAATGTAAAAAGATAATATTATTCAATGTATTTTTTACCTTTGTTTTTTTTTTCAATTTTATCAGCAAATATTTATCACCAATCAAACTACCAACATCTGTCTGGCAGAAATGTAATTATTTTTACTGTATAGTAATAATACATTTTGTTTTTCTTTTTTAACGTGTTTTGTGTTGTGATTTCTGACGGTTTTATTTAGTTGTAGAAACTTACATGTACCTGAAGATGGCGTTTAAAAGTCGCCGAAACATCGTACTTTTAATAAATGTTTTAAGCTGACCGAATCCCAAGAATTTAAAACTTGGAGTTATTTTAGAAGATTCAACAGATATTAATTTTCTGCAGCTCTTATATTGCTAACCACTCTAGGACGTAGTCAAAAATATTTCAGGTTCAAAAATGTTTACAAAATATTCATGCTTATGGGATCGTTTTACTTTTAACGTTTAACGTTTTTTCCACAGGTCCAATTTGTCTGTTTGCATAAGACCTTTATTATACACATCGTTTGGGCTATTTCAATTCTTCATCTGCTATTGCGCCTACTCACAAGCTTTGATCAACGAGGTACGTGATTAAGAACCATACAATTAATTTATAATTTTTAGAAAAAGTAAATAAGGCTTTACTGATATGTATATTTCAGTACACTATCGGAATGCGAAAAGTATCAGCATGATACTGGAATCTCTGCCAGAACTATAGTGAAATATATTTTAGGCTAATAATGTCTACATGAATATATATTTGAGTGAATGGCAGGAGTCAATCAGACCTGCTAAATCTGCAATAATGATTATAGCAATGGCTCAGAAGGAGATAGAAATAACGGCTGGTGGTATTGCTAACATTGATCTTAAAACAGGACTTGCTGTAAGTCTTCAACATAAATATAATAGTTTTAAATTATGAGTATTATTTTATTCAGAAAAACGTTATAAGGTAAAGTCGGGTACTACGGCCGTGTTAGTGGAAAATATTTTTTATTAATGAAACTAAAAACGGTTTTAACATAAAATGAACACTTATGCATTTCTCAACATTTGCTTATTACACAAAATAAAACTTATTTTACAAATACTTAAATATATTTTTTTAATAACAAAAAACTGAGTACCTGCATATTGGCCTTATTACCAGACCAGGCCATCATAGTAAAATAAGGGCGGGTAATAAGGCCGGATACTTAGGGCATACATTGGGGGCAAGTAAAATCCTCTGTGTCTTCGATGGTTAGCCCAACATTTTTTTCATGCACCCATGTCTCACAGGATGCACACACTCTCATATCACCGAATTGGTCATGGTTGCAAACTGTACACATCCAACTTTCTTGTGATTAAGCACAACTGGGACTAAAGGACTTTCTTGCAGTTTGCTCGCCTTTTTTTTGGGAATTGTGTTCCTCTAACACTTGCCTGCTTACCTCTTAGGCGTGATAGTTGAACGCCTTTTTACGTGTTGATACCGTTTTAGATTTCATATCTGGTGAGATAAGAACCTCAGAAAAAGAATTCTCTTGTGCCGTTTTCTCCACAAAATCAGACAAGGGAATAAGATCTTCGGGATCCCATTCAGTGTATCCTACTCTAATTTCTCTTCCTTGTTCTGTGGAACAGTTGTCTATTTCAGTAGTCATCGAATGGTCATTTTTTCCACCCTCCAGACGATTGCTTGGAAGACTTGGTGCAAACACGTGTTCGGGAATGGCATGTTTATTAAAGGAATATATCCTAGTTGCCCTGAAGCCACTACAGATATTGCTCATCGTCAAAACATTTGAGAATCGCTCTTTATTTAGTGTTCTATTGGGCTGTTGGTCCCAGTAATTAAGCAATTCTTGATCCCACTGAGATTCAAACGGGCGAAAAACAGTCACGTCCATGGGTTGGCTGGTGTGTGGTATTGGAAGGAAGACAAAAGAGCTCTATGCCTAAGGGCTCTGCTTTGTCCGCAATGGATACATCTAAATGACTCGATAGACCGTCGAATATTAGAATCGTGGGAGGGGCAGACATAAAGTGGTCCAACCACGTTAAAAATGTGCCAGTCGTCATGCTACCTGTGGGTGTCATGCAAACCTCTGACCCGGCAGGCAATCCATCAGTATATGTAGGTTTCTGTCGCTGACCTTTAAAAGGTATCATTGGGAGCACCACTTGACCAAGGGCATTCGCACAAGCCACGATGGTAACATTCTCTCCATGTTCTGGCGCGATTAGGTGTACCCTTCTTGATCCTTTCTCCGCTAGCACACGTTGTTTGTTTTGCAGGGTCAGTCTACATCCCTTCTCGTCCATGTTGTGAAGCTTTTCAGGTCGGTGTTTTAAACCCTTTCTATCCAAGAGACTACCTAATTTAGTGAAGTAATCATCGGCAATGTAGCGGTTCAATTTTTGCAGTTGCTGAGCTCTCCTTTGTGATATGTTGGGATGACGCTTTAAAAAGGAACGATACCATTCCTTGCCTACCAACTGCGTTACTTTATTAAATTTGTGTGGAACACCAAGTGTTTCACAAAATTTGAAAACGCTACCACGTAAACTTTTTGACGTGAGAGGAAAACCTTTCTCAGCAAATCGAATGATTTTAACCGCCAAATCGTTTTCTTGTGTGCGTAGAAGAGGTTTTGCACCTAAAGAATGTTTTGATAAACCGGATTCCAAGTGGTTTCTTAGCATGCGACGAGGAATGCCACAACGTCGTGCTAACGTTTCTTGTGAATTCCCTTCTCTTAACAACTGTAAAGCTTCTGCCATCGTTTTCTCTGTCCACTGAGCCCTAATGCCTCGATTTTTCTTTCCCATATCTGCGAAATCAGAAGTATCTAATTTAACACATTATTTTCTAGCCTTATTATCTGTCCTACTAATAGCAAACTGTTAGTAGAGCAGGCAATAAGGCCACCGCCTTATTATCTGGACAATGTATTTGAAATATTTTAGGTTATGAATCTTCTAATAATGCACAAACAAAGTACATTTATCTATTAAACATTTAGTTAATATCCATAAAACACAAGCAAACAGACGGTAATGAATATGCACTTGTTTTTCTATAAATATAGCCTACCATTTGCGGACGCTTCTTTTAATCTTAGGAAAATCACTCCAATAAAACACTCAACGACATACACAGAGCTTCTGGTGGACCAGACAAGCCGTTAACTCAATTCAATGAGCTAAGATTCACATACCTGTTAACAGATGACACTGTATGTACCAGTATTTAATTTATTTTACTTTTGATGGGCCTTATTACCTGTCCGGCCTTATTATCCGACGGTACCTTAGTTCATTCGGTATTGTTGCTTCTGACAGAGTTCATCACACTACATACTACTTAATAGCTTTACTAAGATTTTCCCAACTTTATTACTGAAGCTAAAATGAACGTTTTCGGTCTGATTCTTTGTATTTTCCAGACTTTGAAAACAATGATATCTTACTGTATGTTTCTAAGAACAATTGCACAAATTGATAACACGTAGTCAAGAAGAAACAGAGAGGCGTAATAGATTATAAAATATCTCGTTCTGATTGTAGTTGTAGCAATTTAGGTTTACAATATTTCAAATAAAACGTCAACATTGTAGCATAATTGTTTTGTTATACAGGGCGTTACGCACAAGAATAGACACAGAGCAAAAGCATGCAGGGAAACCCCAAAAATATTGTTATTTAACCCAACTTACCTATAAGTATACCAGATTGCTTCCCTGGCAAGTTATAGTCTGTAAAAGTGGGGTTTCAAATTGCGAAAAAAATAACAGCTCAGTTATCCTTGAACTTGGAAAAACAAATTTGGTACTCGTTTTGAGTGTATCAAAGAGCATTAATCAACAGTAATTAAAGTTCAAGAGTCGAAAAGGGATGATGCACCCTGAAGATATGGGACTGATTTTTTAAAACATTGGCGGCCTACTTTATTCAATGCAGAAATTGGTTCTAAATCTTTTTTTTTCTTCTTTTCCAAGAAACATTTGTTTTCAATAGAAACCCGAATAACTAAAAGCATGTGTAATTTAAAATTATCGAAAAGACTTTACAATCAAGTAAAACGTTGTAACAACAATAATTTAATAGAAAAACAAGGAACTGGAATAATAGCAATATACAATTTGCACTGTTGAGTTACAAAAATTGTTCAAAATGATGATTTTTCTCTTAGGCGTAAATTTATCTTCACTCTATCCAATAATTGCTAATAACTAAGATGCAGGTACCTACATTTATTGTAATTTTTTTCGAACTTTGAAACCTCACTTCTGAGGGGCGCAATTTATCATGATCCTGCTCTATGTCGGTTCTTATACGAAACACTCTGGAGCTGAGCTATTTTTGTGAAAAACCTTAACCATAAACCTTGATACGATCCTGTTCCTACGTCCCTATTTCACAAGGAATCCACCAAGCGTGTACCACGCTTTGACGTATACCACAAAACACATAAGACGGAGGTGAACTGGTGAACACTGAACAGCATATTTCTTGCTCTGAATCAGTGTTGACGGATCTATTATTTCTTCACGAGCCTAAAGATACCCATTCACATACAGTCTAGAACTGTCGATTTGTATATCTTCAGTTAAAATTTGTCAATACACATGCAAAATTTTTGCTGCAAAATGATGTAAAATCTTCCAATCTTGGGAGCTAGATTCGAATTGTCGTCTTTACTCCACAATCATCGGTCTATCGCTGGTTTCATGTGGTCTGCAGCCTCAGACGTGTCGGCGGCCTGCATGTGTATTAGCAAAATGGCAAAATCGAGTAATAGTACAGCGTTTTTAAGTGGATTTATTAATTTATACCTTGTTTGTGGAAAATAAAAAGTAAATGCTATTAAACAGACGCGAAAAAAAAGCTTACGAAAAATTACTAGACATATATAAAGGTGTCGAAAGCAATACAACCGTTGATACTGTTAAGAAAAAATTTAACAATCTAAGATGTGCGCCTCCATAATTAGGAAAATTCCATCGACTGTTATAATCTCGTACAATTTTCTGTCATTCTCCAACTGTATTAGGAAATTGAAAATAAATAATATGTATGCGGGCAACAATTTTTTTAAAACAATCTTTCACCCAAAAACGTTTTTGCCGTTGTTATTTGCTCTTGTAATAAGAGTACCTACAAGAACTGGTGTGATCTTCTTTCTTAGCCTCTAGTTAACAACATTGTTGTTCTATCGGCCGATCAGAACTGACAAAATGTTTGTGTGCGTGAAGACACAGTTTTCCTGCAGTTCAGAATCTGAGAGCCTTAAAACTGCAGGCCAGGTCGTTTTAAATAACTGAATAGTGTATGGGTCAAGAAAGTTTGAATCTTCAGTACACGTTGTACAGTTACACAACTGTATGTGAATGGGTACCTTAAGATACTTTAATTTTGTCGTTTTGCTTAAATTGTTCTTTCAATTAGGAATTAAAAGGAAGATGAAGCTACATTATTTTTCAACGTCTCAGGTTACCTAATCATAACATGTATTTGTTTACCTAAAGATATGTATGAGATCTGGCAGCGCTGTTTAAAAAACCTGATCTGTCAAATAAGGAACATGTGAGTGTGAGAGGTTTCAGGTTATGTGGTCATTAAAAAATAAAAATTCTTGGGATTTGATTATGAATAACATTGCTAGATTTCGTTTTTTACCCGTTAGTAAGCTTAGCACATACATAAAGCAACATCCAGGCAATTCATGTACCACTACTAAAAGAATTATAATTCAAAAAAAAGTAGCTTCTGAACTGAAAGTTGAGAAAACAACTCCTAAAGTTCGCATTGATAACGAAACCATAGCCTTACTTGAAAGGCTCTCGCTTGTGGATTGTGAAAACCAAGAAGCAGTGAGAACTCTAGAGTCAGCCTTAGAATTTGCAAACCAAATCTTTGAGCTAGATACAACAAACATAGAACCACTGATTACAGTACTAGAAAATAAGTAAGTATAATGATCTTCTGGCTTCAAATTTCATTTATACTGCAACAGTAACTAGAAAGCCTATATTTTGATCAGAGACATGAACCAATAGGTAGCTAGATTGCCCTCTTGTTTTTTAGGTCTTTATCTGTAAGAGAAGATGTGGTAACAGAAGGAAACTGTAGAGATGAAATACTAAAAAATGCAGCAGTTACTGAAGATCACTATTTTGTAGCACCTCCTGGAAACATCCCTTTAGATAATAAAAAATAGAGATGTTTTTTAAAATAGCAGATCTTGCTGTTAAGCATGGCTTCATAAGAAAAAATATGTTACCCAATATAAATTTTGACCAGTACAAGTTTGGTCCTGTAGGTTTACTTTTATTAAGTAACCTAGAATCAGAGTGGTTTTTCCACTTTGTTATAAACAAAGATGTTACTGTATTTATCAATAAAGATGATTTTACATCTACTTTTAATTTTGCCAAAAATACATGCTGTGATAGGTTGCCTTTCGGGATTGTTGAGAAAAAAGGCAATAAGAAAATGAATTCAGATGATTTGATACAATATAAAACATTAACAAATAGTGACTCAATAGAGTTTTGTAAAAGATTTCCAGAAGAGGAAAAACAGTTTCTTAAAGGTACATTTTTCATTTCTCCAAATGAGTCTACAAAGTTTTTCCATCAGTTCCAAAGACAGAGGAGGATATGGTGGAGAAAGGTAAGCTATGTAAACCAAAGTGTTAACCCAAAGTAAGAAATTTATAATGAGTAAAAAATTATACTTTTAACAAACAAAAAATACCAACAATAGCATTTACTAAGCAGTTTATAAAACCTACATATAAAAAATGAAACCATAACAATTTTCATAGCCTTGTTTCTACACATATAAATTTTCTTCAGATTTCAGCATCGCCAGGTAGATATTTGTTAACAGACAATAAAACCTGTGAAAATGGTTCACAAACTGTAGAAATAAATGCAAAGTATCCATGGGGATACCAAGAAATTGAAAAATTGGTTCTTAATTCTGATTTAAATGATTTAGGTTTAGAGAACAGTCAGGTGCAGGTAATTTTTTTCACATACCTTTCATTAATATCAGATTTTTTCTCACATAGTGACTTTTAGTAACCATTTTATATGGGATCAATGTTAAGTGTTATCAAACACAAATTCTTAAATTTTAAGTATACTAGTTACATTTGGTTGCACTTAGATGCTATAAACTAATGCTGCATGACATATGACTTCTTTATTTGTTATTTATTGTCTGCTAAGTGCTACTGAACATAACCAATATGTGTGAGCTTTACTGATTAGCAAATAAATTCAATGTTTCAGTTCAAAGAGGGAAGGAAAGCTGTCAGGCCACACACTGTGACAAGCACTATCAATCTATCCACAATGTTCTTGAATTTCCTATGTGATGGATATGAAGAACCATTGTTTCAAGGAAAACCAAGAACAATACTGCGATTTCATAGAAAAGTAGCACCTTACAGGATCAGTTTTGCTGTATCTGGCACAAGTAGGTATTTTTCTTTTCAACACCAGGGTATCAATAGTAGAACACTTCATGTTAGTAAGTTTTTTCTGAACTGTAACATCTTAAAATGATCCTATGGTCTTCATGCTGATAATTCTCATTTGTGGCTTTAAAAAATATGTTATGTCTTTGCCTTTAATTTGTTTTTTATGTTTCTGATTTTTAATTTGTATTAATTTTGTGATTTTGAGTATTCTACAACTGCTATGATTTTAATTTGTTGTTTATGTCTGTTGCTTTCAATTCATTATGTATTAAGACTGTGATATTCTATAGGTAATTATTACTATTTCACTGTAATTCCTGACATGATCAATACTATCACCTGATGGTCTCCCATATTAGTAAAGATATTATTCATCATTTAATTTTGTGGAAGCAAAACTCTGTGGCATTCTTCACGGAGTAAAATCAGATAAGACAATGTATGTATGTAGCAAATATGTTTTTTTCCAGATGCAGTGTCAATATCAGAGCTGAGTGACCTAGCCCTTTATCTATCCAGGCAATTGCGTAGCAACCACATTTCTACCTTACTTTTACCAAGTACATCAAAACACTCTCTTGAAGCTCAGTATAAACAGTATGATCAACTTGGTGTGCCTTACACTGCTGTTTTAAATGAAAATACTCTGAAAGATGGGATTCTTTACTTGAGGAGCAGAGATACAACACTGAAGGTATAACATTTATTTTTCCAATTTATCCTCAAAATCAAATTAATTTCATTATAAAATATAGCATTAGATATTTTCCAGAGTGCTCTATGTAATGATAGTGGTTTATGAGTTAAAATCAAGACTATATTTTATCATACTTTAATGTAAGATAATTCTCAATATACAAAGAATAGAACTGACTCAGTTACTAGATTACCTATACATTTTAATAATACATATTTATTTTTCAGGAGCAAGTACATGTTACCAGTTTGGTTACTTACATAGAACAACTTTTTAAAAACTACTGAAATGAAGAAATATGTTTTTAATAAATATTTTTTGTAATGCTACCTACAATGTAATGTGACTTACAAATTATCATAAAGCCAGCATACCACATTTATCACTACTGATGTTTGGGCAATTGTGTTTGACATAATTGTTTAACTTATGCAAGGTGCAAAATATTGTAACAATACAGAGCATAGCTGTAGCCCCACCAACAATTTTTGTTGTTTATTTAGTTGTTTAAAATATAAATGTATAGAACTTCATCCCAGTTTTTCAATTGAAGGTTAAATGTAAATTTACTAACTCCCTAAAAGTGTTTTCCAATAAGTTTGCCCTGTAGTGGTTGATATCTTTGATCAGAGGTCTATCGATTAACTATAAAATTGTAGTTAAACTGCAATGCCTAACTTAGTTTGCTTGACAATGACATGAAATGTCATGGGTGAGACAAACTCTGCACATCACAAAATCCAAAGAAGTCAATAAATCAGATGTATAAGCAAGATTTCCACATGAACAATTATGAGTCAGTTAACTATAACTTGAATTATGAAATTCACAGATAACCGATTATTAACTTCCAAGTTCTTATTACCTAACCTGAAAGTTGACCTGCAATTGGGCTTAAACAGGATCAATTTGTTGTTAAATCAATTAGAATCAGCTCCATTTATTATTTCTGTTTCCTTTATCATATCTATAAGTTGTATTAAGTTACAATGGACTGAGCAAAATAAAGCTGCAAGTTGTTGGTGGCGCTGTAGTTATTCTCTCCACTATAACTGCAATAATATATCTATGGAATACAACTTAAATTAATAGTTACACCCAGTCTATAATACATAATGGTGCTAATTAGGCCCTGTTGTATTAATTTGCCCATATGTAGTTAATTATGGACTATGACTGAAATTCAATGTTTCTAAAGGTTTGGTTTTAACAGCCTCAATTTTCTTAAGGCATTGAGTTAACAATGATTCTTGCACCTGTTCCATGCTCTCAGCTGCATTTATTTTTACCCAATTGTCACTTTCACTATATAGTCTTTCAAATACTTTTGCTACCTTCCTTTGTGTCTCTACGTTTTCGTATCTCTCGTTTCCGAAGCCTGGTCTGATCAACATTTCTTCTTCACTTAATGTTAAAAGGAACACTATATCTGGTTTTGGAAGACCGTTCTCGGGTTGTTTGCACCATGCATAGTCCATATCTATAAAAAAAAATACAAATAGCTGTAACATGGAAGAATGTATATGTAGACTTATTTGTCAAAATAAACGCACATTATTCATTTCTTTGTACATTGAAAACCATTATATACGTACTTTTTTTCGCCGAAGAAAAGGCTATTCCTGAATATGAGTACCTATCAACAACAAGTGTTACACCATCGTAAAGCATATTCTTAATCTTTTCTGCATTCTCCCAACGATTTGCAGAAAATAAAAGATGTATAGTTTCATCGTTCAGCTTACAGTTTTTATTTTTTAAATAATCGTTTATCAAATGTCCTGTTAAAGTAGTCCTATCTGGAAAGTTGATGAGGGTTGCAGAAATGTTCCTGTGTTTCAAAGACTCCACCAACTTCTTACATTGGGTCGATTTACCTGATCTATCTACACCTTCGATCACAATTAAAGCACCTCTTTTCAGAATCTCTCCCATTTTTTCGTAATAATTGTAATTTTCAAAATAACAGCTTTGAGGAAGAGACTTCGGCGTTTAATTTAGGTTAGAAGCGTCAGACCGCTGCCAAAATTTTTTACAACTTGACTCGAACGTCAAGGGCCAAGGGGTGCGCTTTGTGCTTTCCAGTGCCTCGTTTGTGTTATACCGGTCCCACACGATGTGGCAAATTAATCACAACGTTGGACACATGGCCATTCGTCACATCGTGTTGGAGAGCACTGACGGATTAGATGTGTCCAACGTTCGCCACATGGCACATTCGGGCTCTTTTCGGTAAATTTGACCCGCGTCAAAGGACGTTACAACGTTGGAAGCATGGTTCGTTATGCATTGCATTTCATAATTAAGGAAAACGATTAAATAAAGATAACTCTGAAGGTACTATCAGGATTTTGATGAAAAAGCTCTGCAGTTTTTGAAAATCGGTATAGTGGCGGCGGAGTTATCGTCGAAAAACAAAACAAACACAAAACTTCGTTTTTCGACATTTTTGGGGCTTCTGACATACTTAAGTTTTGGTCGCTGAAGACAGATCTGAAATTATTTTTCGGAGCTCGAAAAAATTGTTTCATCGTTCATTTTTTATAATTTTTCATTCAATTGTAAAGGTTCAAGCACGACACTGTCACCGATAATAGACGGTGGCGCCACCATGCGTCGAACGTCCGGGACTAAAAGGATCATCCCATCGTGTAGCAGACACTTTTGCCAATTGTGGTTTGTCGAACGTTGTACACAACGTTCTATACAACGTTGGAAGCATCGTGTGGGACCGGTCCCACACGTTGTGGCGAATGCCTTACAACGTTGGACACATGAGCTATTCGCCACATCATGTGGGAGAGCGCTGACGGATTACATGTGTCCAACGTTCGCCACATGGCACGTTCGGGCTCTTGTCGGTAGATTTGACCCGCGTCAAAGGACGTTACAACGTTGGAAGAATGGTTCGTTACGCTCCCACACGAGATGTCATCTGTTTGATGGTTTTAGGATAGAACCAGTAGCGGCGAAAAACATTATTTACTTATTTGCTGTGGTGAAGTAGTGGTATGTGGGAAGTCTTTTGTTTAAATACCTACCTATTCATAATAATGTATGTTCTGTAACTAACTTTTGAGGAGAATGAATTAAATTAGTCTACATACAAAGCATACGCTGCCGTAACAACAGTTTTCATATTGCTAATATTTTGTAAGTTTCGCAGGCGAGTTATGGTTGACCTAAGGATGATATATATTTTAATAATTTATCAAGTGCTTACAGTTGTTTTTATAATGTCCTGTTGCATGTAAGACTAGTTGAGAAATATATTGACTTGCATTTCATAACTAACGAAAACGATTAAATAAATGATAACTCTGAAAGTACTATCAGGATTTTGATGAAATTTTGACCCTAGGTTACTACTATGCTAATGACGAAAAAAACTCTACAGTTTTTGAAAATCGGTACAGTGGCAGCGGAGTTATCATGGAAAAACAAGCACTTTGTTTTTCGACATTTCTGAGGCTTCTGGCAGACACAAGTTTTGGTCGCCGAGGACAGATCTGAAATTATTTTTTGGGGCTCGAAAAAAATTGTTTCATCGTCCATTTTGTATAATTTTACCTTCAGTCGTAAAGGTTCAAGCGCGACACTGACACCAATAATAAACGTTAGCGCCACCATGCGTCGAACGTCCGAGACTAAAAAGTTCATCCCATCCTGTTGGAGACACACTTGCCAATTGTCGGGTGTCGAACGTTGTAAACAACGTTGGAAGCATCGTGTGGGACCTGCATTAGTTTTTATCGTCGCGTTCCCGAGCGCGTTTGCTAGAGTAGAGCGTCACACTCCGGATGCATACAAATCTCAACTCAAAAGCACTGAAAAGCGGCCCAGTGCTCTACTGATAGTACTGCAATGTTGCCAGGTTCAAAAAATAAAAATCACTAGAAATTTTGCTAAAAAATCGCTAGATTGAATAAAAAATCACTAGATTTTTTATTTTTTTTATATATAGAGGTAAATACTAAGGTATTTTTTTAATTTTTAAGGCTTTACTTTTAAAAACAAACAACAAAAATTTACATTGGAACAGACACAAAAGAAACCATAAATATAAACACACAAATTAATGAAACACCAAATATATTTGAAAGCTTAAACACGTAACAATAAACATGAAATTAAATATAACTTACTTAAAACTACATTAACCTAAACGAATTTAAAAAAGAATGACTTTCTTTCGGGTACATATTATTATGTAAAAAGATTCTTAAAACACTCTTAAAGCAAACAACAAAAACGCAAATTTGAACAGACTCTTAAAAAAAGCCACAAATACAAAACCATCAGACAAAAGTAACAAAACACCAAATATATTTCAAAACTTAAAAACGTAACAATAAAAACGAAATTAAATATAACTTATAAATAACGACTATAAACAAATTTAAAAAGAGTGACATTCTTACGAGTACATAAAGGGTGTCCCAAAATTAACGCAAGATTTGAATTTGCCGCCATTTGTGCAGTGAAGTGTTGGCAACCCTGAAAAAAAGCAATTTGACAGCTAACAGTATAGGGTTATGAAAAATGGAGCGTTACGAGCGTTACACGATAGAACAACGTGTCTTCATTATTAAAGAATATTTCAAAAATAGTGAAAGCTTGGCGGCTGCAGTTCGAAAATTTCATACAAAATATGGCCGGAATAGTGTTTTAACTTCGTCAACTGTGAAGAGATTAATTGAAAAATTCATGGAGACTGGATCCGTTGGAGACGCCAAACACACTGGTCGTCCAAAAACAAGCCGTTCAAATGTGAATATCGAAGCAGTGCGTGAGAGTGTTGCGGACAATCCAGGAACCTCAATTCGACGTCGTGGACAAGAATTGCAAATGTCAAGAACCTCTCTACAGCGTATACTCACCAAAGATCTGTGTCTTCATGCTTACAAACTTCAATTAACACAACAATTGAAGCTTAATGACCATGCAGAGAGAAGAGAGTTTGTTGAATGGATTATTGAACATCAACAAATGGACCCTGATTTTTCAAGCAAAATCATCCTAAGCGATGAAGCACATTTTCATCTTGATGGCTTTGTCAATCGCCAAAATTGCCGCATTTGGGGTTCGGAGAACCCACGTGTGATTGTCGAAAAAGAAATGCACCCACAACGCGTGACTCTGGTGTGGATTTTGGGCTGGAGGCATAATTGGGCCATATTTTTTTGAAAATGATGCTGGTCAAGCAGTGACTGTTACTGGTGCTCGATATCGCGACATGATTACACAGTTCTTTCTGCCAAAATTGAATGATATTGATGTACCCAATATGTGGTTTCAACAAGACGGTGCCACATGTCATACAGCCCGTGAAACAATTCAATTACTGCATGAGACATTTCCCGGTCGTGTACTCTCTCGTTTCGGTGATCAAAATTGGCCTCCTAGATCGTGTGATTTAACACCATTAGACTTCTTTTTATGGGGTTATTTGAAATCACAAGTCTATGTCAACAAGCCCACAACCACCCGTGCATTAAAGGAGGAGATTCAACGCTGCATCAACGAAATTCAGCCACATTTATGCAGAAGGGTCATGGAAAATTTCGACAAAAGAGTGCGCATGTGCATGCAAAGCCGTGGAGGCCATTTGTCCGATGTGTTATTCCATACATAACCCTATCCTATGTACTTTATGAGTCAATAAAAATATAACTATTAAAAGACTAAAAATGACATTTTCTATTTAATTCAAATCTTGCGTTAATTTTGGGACACCCTTTATTATTATTGTTTTTTTATAATGTCCCTTGAAATTGGAAAATTATGGCAGTTTTTATCTTCGGCATTAATTAGTCTTTTGCTGCACAAAATTCCACTTATTGTCAGAGCACCCAGTTGATTACGCAATTTGGTTTTGTTTAAATTAATATAAAAAAAATAATCTTTCCACACTTGCGCTACTGTGTGGCAATGTAAGTAAAATTTTAACAAAATTTGCAAGCTCTGGATATACGAGACTATCATCCCTTTTTTGATATTGCTTATGTTTTCCCAGAATTGAATTTCACCAAGCGAAAAATCACATTCAGAAAACTTCAACTGCCTAAATTCTTTAACTAAATTGTTAATGTGTTTAACTATATTTGGAAACCTACTAACCAGAGGTCCTATACTTTCAGTTGATGATATATTTGATGGGTGCAGAAAAGTTATTAGTTTGAGAATCTGTTCTTCTCCGAAATTAAAGGGGAATCGCTTCCATATTTGGCTTACCGCTTCAATATAAAAATCCAGACGTTCCATCTGAAATTATGTTTGATATTTTCTGATTTAATGAAACAGCTTAATAAAAATTTACACGGGTCATTAATCCGGGGGTAAAGGTTATGTACCTTGGGAGTTCCATACTGGAATTCCAAATTCATATCCGTAAAAGTCGGTAATATAAATTGCAAAAAAGAAGATATAGTCTATTTAATTTATTATTAAGCATGTCGTGGATTTCCGCTGCTCCTGAAGCTTCATCGAATGCTTCAATTCTAAAATAATTCTCTAGAGCATCATATTGCTCAATAATTCTACTTACAGTGGAAATCAGTGACAGCCACCTATTCTGTGATGTATGCAATAATCTGTGGGGTTTGATGTTAAAAAATGTTTGAAATTCTTTAAATTCCGAAAATCTTTTAAAATTGCGATGCATATAATTGTATACGCTTCTTACCAACTTTTGGATGCATTTCTATATTTTTTCATTGTATTTTTCAACTTGTTTTGTTTGCCACAAACCTTTTAAAGTACCGGTTCATTTCGTCAACATCAGCTAAATCTACTGGAATAGATGACCTGGCTGTCTTATTGCCAAAGTTCATAGCTTCCAAATCTTTCCATAGAGTCTTATATTTCGTACTGCTAATTTTATGTTCCAAATGAATATTTTTAGCATTATCACTTGCTAATTTTACTATATTAAGTAACTTCTTGTATTCCTCCCATTTCTGATCACACCTTGATCTCCTAAAGGCAGTGAATTTGTCATCTCTAAGCTTCATTAGAAATTTAATATTATCAGTCAGCCACGGAGCTGGTTTTTTCGTAAACCTTGCCATTCGATAGGGTGCAAATTTGTCACATAGCTCTAAAACTAATTGA